AGGGTATATAAAAAAAAATTTAAAAAGTGAATATGGGGAAAGGTAAGGTTATGGGGATAAAAGATTACGTGACGAAAGATTGGATATCGATTGGAGGGAGGAATATGGAGGAGGTGAATGGATTCAAAAATTTTTGGGGGAGTGGCCCGTGTTAGGGGGATGGGTCTATGAAAGATGAGGCGGTCATATAATTGATGGGGGGGGGAAAAGGGGTAAGTGGGGGGCCACTTAGAAGTCTGTGGAGAAAAGAATTTTTTCCTTTGGGAAAAGTAAAGAGGCGAATGTATGAGAGTATATTTTTACCAACACTTTATATGGGGGAAAGCAGGGCGATGAATGTTGCAGCGAAAAAGAAGGCTGGAGGTAGTGGAGATGTTTTTTCTGAGGGCAAAGTGTGGGGTGAATATAAAGCAGAGGGAAATTTATTTGTTTGGGGAAATTGGAGGAGGTTCAGGATTGCCCCAAAATGTTTTCAGAGGGCTGAGGAAGGGTTGTTGAGGTGGTTCGGACATGTAGAGAGAATGGTACGAAAAAAGAAAGACTTCAAGAAAAGTATCAATCTGTTGTGGAGGGAAGGTGGGGTAGGGGTCGGTAGGAAAGTTTGGGGGAGGGGGTTAAGGAGGTTTTTTTGTGCGAGGGGTTGGGGTTCCAGCAAGCATGCATGAGCGTGTTTTATAGGAAATGAATTTGGGGACAAATGGTTTTTAATACTTGAGTACTGTTGGAGTTTTGAGCCAAAATAACATTTTTTGAAGGGATTCGGGGAAACCGGGAGGGCCCGCTTGAGTCCTGGAGATGGGAAATACAGGTCTGCACTCTGGGAAGGGGGGGGTGGTTTAAAATTGCAGTTTTATAAACTGTAGTGTAAAGTACCCCTCTGGCAAGACTGTGAGGGAGTGAATGATGAAAGTTTTTCTTTTTCGGGCCACCCTGCCTTGGTGGGAATCGGCCGATGTGTTAATAATAAAAATAAATTAAGGTGATTTGCTCGAGAATTGTAAGTGGACACAGCGTCCCATGTTGTTTTTCAAGTCACGTGTTCAACGTCACTTGTATGCTCTGCTGTTGTTGTTCAGCTCAGCACAGCTATTTCAGCAAGCCAGAGGTGAGTTTTGTGGTGATTTCTGTGTCCAGTGTGTCTCCCTGTGTTGTGGGTGGGAGAGGAGGAAGCAGCCGGGTTCCTGCCTCACTCACACCTCACCCGCCTACCACCACATTCCACCACTATGTGCTCACTCCCTCTGCTGTGTTTTCTGCTGTTTTCCGTGTGAATTCATTGCCAGAGCTGTGTATCCGAGTGCCCGAGGCCACTCGAAGCTACGTGGATCACCATGCCATGTGGATCAGCATGCCACGTAGATCAGCAAGCCACGTGGATCCCGACACCACGTGAGGTGTGGATGATGTCACGTGGATCTACAAGCCACGTGGGTTACCAAGCCAGATGTCCCAAGCCACATGCTGTGGTCTGCTGCCCGCATCACATTGACGTCACCAACGATGTTGCCCAACTTCACGACATCACCGACGATGCTGCCCGACTTCATGATGTCACAATGTCTGCCTGACATCACCTCGAGACGTCTGCTGACGTCACGTCGCTATGTCACGCCTGACATCACATGATGTCACATCGAGTGTTCTAGTAATTATTTCAGTATTGTCGAGAAGACTGAGAGAAGATATATGTCATGTGTTAATTCCTCTCAGTCAGTGTTCTCACATGTTTGTGTATAGCTGTGTCAATTTTTACACAGAAAAGCATCATTTGCTAGTAAGCCCTGTAGTACCACATGTGCAGTGTGGGTGTGTGTAGTTTTCTGTGTGTCCTGTGTGGTCTTGAGCCCAGCTGTGTGTCGACCACAGGCCTGCGGCCAGACCCCAGTGTAGCACCTCGTGTTACTTGTCACCCGGTGTGACCTGCGCGTTTGACAGCTGATATTAGGTCATGCCCGAGGCGTCCGAGTCTTGTACAGAAAGCTTTATTGTTGCCTTCATTAATGTCCTGCAAAAATCGTATGTGCACATTCCCATCAGATTTGTTTCACTTGACCGTCAGACGCCGTTATAAAGTAGAGAAACAAGTCTGGGGAGCTTAGATAAAACCCCTGCTATAACTCAACTGCGAGAAATGACACTCGTCAAGCCGCAGTTAGCCCTGTCGGCAGGCACTGTGTCATCCTCCTGTCATAGCTTCAGTGAGCAGCCTGCACAAAGATGATGTCACTTTGACTGCTAGCCCACTCACTGCAGTATAGTGTATGCTGTTACGACTCCCAGATGTTTTGCCGAGTCGTCTCTGCCATGACTCACTTCACTCTCGCCGGCAGTGACAGCCCCAGCGACAGTACCAGTTGAGAAATGTCCTCCTGAGTAGCTTTCCAGAAGAAGTCCTGCCCAGTCGCCGAGTACTGACGACGCCTCACTCGAGGGCACCAGCAGGTCGTGCCCCAGGTTGAGTGAAACCCTGCAGCGACTTCTACGATGACTGCTTCACCGTTCCAGAGGAGACAATACCCCGTTACGTTACAGCTCAGCCGCAGCGATGTCTCCTGTGTTGCAGTATCTGTCCAGACGCAGGAAGGCGTGCAGTGATGCCCATCAATGCTCGCTGCCTTTGACCACATTGTTCAGCACACCCCACATGTTTTTTTCTTCCCTCCCTGTAGGAAGTTTTTTTTCCATGTCCATATGTATATACATGTTTTTATTTTGTGTTCTGTGCCCTGTTCCTACGAGAGACCAAGTTTTTTTACCACCAATATTGTCGCGTTGGGACGACGCGAGGTAGGTGGCCAAGCAAATGTAAACAGCCTGTACTGTCTGCACAGACAGCCTGTGCTGTCTGCCAGCTTAGTTCATATTTTGCGGCACTCAGGTGCTGCCCTCTCTAGGCCTGCCCAGGTCACTGGGACGCTGGTCCCACTCGCTCTCACTCACTCAGCGGCCTAGACTCAGACAACAGGTCCTACTCCTCTCTCCCTCGTGGGCATGGCCCTCCCAGGCCATGGGCATGTAACACACTGCCTGTGTACCCCAGATACTACAAATAAAGTAAGAAGCCTCCAAAGCCTTTAACATTACTACCCGCTACCAAGAATCACCAAATAATCTCGTAAACATGGATAGCAATACTGGGATTCAACAAATCTGGAAATAACAAATTAGTTAAATTTGGTGTTTAAAATTACAAGTAAAGCAATAAATGTAAACACTAGGAAAATGATAGGATGGATAATCAAAATCTTCAAAACTAGAACATCAAGCCCATGATGATTCTCTTCAAATCGCTTGTGCTCTCTAGGCTGGAATACTGCTGTACGCTAATGGCCCCCTTCAAGTCTGGCGACACTGCAGATGGAGAGTGTACAAAGAACTTTCACGGCACACATAAGTGTCAACTAATAATACGAATACCACCTGGTGGTTCACACTTACACTCACTCACCCATTTGACCATAAACAGAAATATCAATCTCAGTCTCAAAATAATGAATCTTAACTAGTCAAAAGTTGGCCTGTGATACTCCAATACTGAAACTATGTATAGTGCCAAAACAAAAGCATCCACATTGCTAAACTCACAACTAGTATTTAGTCACTTAGCCATAATACCAACTTATCTCATAATTCTGTAACATTTTAAACCTAAGATTTAATATAAGTCTGCCCGAAATGCCTAGCCATGCTAGGCGTTCTAGTGGTACACTCTGTAATTATTATTTTACTACATGTAAACCACACAATAACCAAATTCTGTAAACTCAGCATTGTAATACTTATAGAGAATAAAGTTTGAATTGAATTGAATAAGGCACCTAAACAATTGGGAATGGTTGAAGGTCCTTGATCTGTATTCCCTCGAATGCAGGCAAGAGAGATACATGATAATATACACTTGGAAGGTCCTGAAGGGATTGGTACCAAACCTGCAGACGAAATTCACTCCATATGGAATCAAAAGACTCGGCAGAAGATGCAACATTCCCCCGATGAATAGCAGGGGCGCCATGTGTACGCTGAGAGACAACACAATAAGTGTCAGGGGCCCAAGACTGTTCAATTGCCTCCCAGCATACATAAGGGGGATTACCAGTAGACTCCTGGCTGTCTTCAAGAATGCACTGCACAGGCACCTAAAGTCAGTACCTGACCAACCAGGCTGTGGTTCGTACGTCAGCTTGCATGCAGCCAGCAGTAACAGCCTGATTGATCAGACCCTGATCCACCGTAAGGCCTCGTCTCAGACCGGGCCACAGGGGCGTTGACCCCTGAAACCCTCTCCAGGTATGCTATAGAGGATAGTGCCCTGCACTTGTGAGTTTGGAAGGCAGGCTGCAAGGCTGGTGTGGGTCACGTCCAGGGAGACAAGATTGAGGACCCCAATGGAAATAAGATAGACATACTGCCATTCTTGGGTTATCTTGGGTGTCTAACCCTTTGGGGTTAAAAATTTGAACGAAATCTTAATCTTCTGCGATATAGGGACCAGAACTAAGCAGCAAAATCTGAATGAAACCTTTCCCAAGTCATATAAAGTTGAAGAACAGTAGACCCTCAAGTAACACATGGGTTACATTCTGATAACTGACATTCTATTCATATTAGCATTCTTCAAAGTGAAGAACATATGTGGGTAATTTATAACAGATTTGAAGGAACTCAAGCTAGAGCACACCACACATCTGTTGGTGAGATATGTCGGTAATAACCTGTATTTTGTGATCACAGTGGGGCATATGCTAGCCTTCCTCTGGTGTATAAATATACACCAGAGGAAGGTTAGCATATGGATGAATCTTATGTAGACCAACACAGAATATAAGTTTTTAGAATGCATTTTCTCAAATTTTTACTGTAATTCTGAAAGGGATTTGTTTTATTCCATTACACCTTACGTGTCGATCATTCTGAATTTTTGGTGTTCAAGTTTAGTATCACTAACACATTTTGTTTACTTCACCAGTGCAGTTTTATAAGCTTTGAATACACACATACAGATTAACAAGAAAAAGCCTATTGGGGCTCGTGTGTGCTTCATCCCTGAATTCCACATTGTGTGTGTTCTGCGTGACTGGTCAGGTGGAGATGTGCACCTTACTTGGAGTGAGCTTGATGAGCTGCGTGATTATGACAACCCTATTGCTCCTGGAGCTCTGGTGAAGACTGTTTTGCTTTACTGCCAACTGTTGGACCTCACTAGTGAAGAGTCTTTGGCTACACAGTTGAAGCAAAGGTAAAGTCATTATTTCTTTACATATGTATTATTAATTTTTTTTTCTTCAACAAGTCGGCCGTCTCCCACCGAGGCAGGGTGACCGAAAAAGAAAGAAAATCCCCCAGAAAGAAAATACTTTTATCATCATTCAACACTTTCACCTCACTCATACATAGTCACTGTCTTTGCAGAGGCGCTCAGATACGACAGTTTAGAAATCCCTTCAAACAGTCAGTATCCCAGACCCCTCCTTTAAAGTGCAGGCATGTACTTCCCATTTCCAGGACTCAAGTCCGGCTAAATTTATAATAACCAGTTTCCCTGAATCCCTTCACTAAATATTACCCTGCTCACACTCCAACAGCTCATCAAGTCCCAAAAGCCATTCATCTCCATTTACTTATATCTAACACACTCACACACGCTTGCTGGAAGTCTAAGCCCCTCGCCCACGAAACCTTCTTTATTCCCTCCCTCTAACCTTTTTGAGGACGACCCCTACCCCTCCTTCCTTCCTCTACAGATTTATATGCTCTCCAAGTCATTCTACTTTGATTCATTCTCTCTAAATGACCAAATCACCTCAACAACCCCTCTTCAGCTCTCTGACTAATGCTCTTAGTAACTCCACACCTCCTCCTAATTTCCACACTCCAAATTCTCTGCATAATTTTTACACCACACATTGCTCTTTGACAGGACATCTCCACTGCCTTCAGCCACCTCCTTGCTGTAGCATTTACAACCCAAGCTTCATACCCATATAAGTGTGTTGGTACCACTATACTTTCGTACATTCCCTTCTTTGCCTCCATAGATAATGTTTTTCGTCTCCACAGATACAGGTCCGCCATCACAAATCCGGCAATCAGTTATTCAGTTCCTTCAGTTATTCGGCACTAATTTTGGCTAGCATAATTTCAAATTTCCAGGGTCGCCACACCAACCTGCTGGTACTGTTTGGTGGTGCTACTTGCTACATAAGTCATTCCAATTTCTTTTACTCCATTTATTGTTTTAACCTGCTTACTTTTAGCCCTATCCATGGTTCCAATGAATAAAAGAAATGCTTCTCATTATGTAAAGTACCTACACAGTACATTATTCATTAAAGATAAGGTGGCTTTGAAGCCACTGTCGGTTGCCATGAGCTCAGTCTCATGAAGCAGGAGAATATGCTTTACTAAAGTCACCTTCAGACTTCACAATGAGGCAGCCATTAATAACTTCACAACAGCAGTAGCAAACATTGACTGGCACACTGAGCTAGAAATCAATACAGATATTGATGAATGTATTAATAATTTTCTAAAAAAGACCCAATACCTCTATAACAAGCACTGCCCTAAAAAAACTAAGCAGATGACAGCTAAGAGACTGAACAGTCCCTGGCTAACACCCAGCATTCTCAAATCCATAAATACAAAACACCAATATGAAAAACAGTACAGAATGGGTCACATACCAGAGACCAAACAAAACGTTACTCGTCAATCCTAACCAGCCTGATAAGAAGGGCAAAAAAATTGTATTATGAGAACAGATTATCCAACTTACGAGGTGATATAAAAAAGACCTGGAAAACCCTATCAGAAATTCTGGAAACAAAAAAGATATCACGAAAGCGAAATAAAATTAGCAAAATCAGATGAACCCCAACTCCCACCAACAGAAACAGCAAACAGACTCAATGATTTCTTCTCCACTATAGGACAAAACCTTGCCAATAAAATCCCAAGCTCAGATACCCCACCAAATGACTACCTCACCGGCAACTACCCGAACACACTGTTCCTAGCTCCGACTAACCCATACGAAGTCCTCCCTTATTATCAACGCACTAAAAAACAAGGCAGGAGATTTAAATACCTTACCACCCTTTAATACAAAAAAGTGTCACAAGTGCTATCACCAATCATTGCAACACTCTTTAACAAATCCATTGAATCCTCCACCTTCCCTACAGTACTCAAAATAGCAGGGTCACCCCGATCCACAAAGGAGAGACCAAACAGAGTTGAATAACTATAGGCCAATATCCAACTTACACCCTCTCTCAAAATCTTCGAAAAATTAATCATAAACGAATCTACTCCTACCTTATCTCCCAAAACATACTCAACCCCTGCCAATTTGGATTCAGGCCTAATAAAAATACTAATGATGCTATTATACACATGCTAGAAACATATATACACTGCAATAGAGAAAAAAGAAGTCCCACTGGGGATCTTCATTGACTTACGTAAAGCTTTTGATACAGTTGACCATGACTTGCTCCACGTAAAATTGTCACACTATGGTATAAGAGGGCACTCCCTCAACTACCTCAAGTCATACCTCAGCAACAGAAGCCAATATGTGTACGCAAATGGGCAAACTCTTCTGCACAACCAATTACAGTTGGTGTCCCACAGGAAGTGTCCTTGGCCCTCTTCTCTTTCTCCTATACATAAATGACCTACCAAATGCTTCGCAATTACCAAACCCACAACTATTTGCTGATGACACAACATACGTCTTCTCCCCACCCGAGCCCAGTCACGCAAGCCAATACTGTAAATACCGAATTAACAGAAAATATTACCTGGATGAGTACTAACAAACTTAACACTAAACCATTGACAAAACCTACTTCATTCAGTTTGGTACAGAGCACAGATGTCCCTCTTAACATAAGATAAACGGATCACCTATCACAAAGCTAACAGAGGGAAAATTTTTAGGAATCCACCTTGATAATAGACTCTTTTTTCATAAACACATATACAACAAATTTCTAAAAAAATTTTCCCCAAGACTGTAGGCATACTACGAAGATACGGTACTATGCCCCACAGTCAGCCCTCCTGGCCCTATATCACTCTCTTATTTACCCCTATCTCACCTAGGGAATTTGTGCATGGGGCTAAAACAACAAGTAACCATCTCAGACCACTAATTCCCCCAACAAAAGCTGCAGTTAGAATGATAACAAATTCTCACTACAGGCAGCACACTCCACCAATATTCAATACACTCAACCTACCCCATACAAAACATCCATACTTATTACTGCACCCTATTACATACATAAAAACACCAACTCTGATATTAACCCTCCCCTCAAACATCCCCTGCCAACCTCAACAAACACATGACCATAACACAAGGCACAGATCACTCTTTGATATTCCTCGTGTCCCATCTCAAGCTAATGCAAAAACTCAATGCACATAAAAGGCCCTAAAATCGGGAATTCATTACCTGTAAATATAAAAGAAACACTACCTGTTTAAAAAATTCAAGTCTCTTCTCAAAGACACTTACTCACACCAAAAACCAAATAAATACTGAATAACTGAACCTTATAAATTGTATATCTTAAATGTTTTTCACAATTAATCACATAAATGTTAAACTTAAAACCAATCTAACTTTATTATTTTTTAAATACACTACCTAACAGAATACTCCATTCACTGAATTTACAACAATGCATGCAACCCTATGACCTGTCTTTTTAATACTCACTTGTGCTTTATATAATCTGTTTACAAATTTAAAGTTTTTTCACTGATTTCATCATTGCTTAGTTAATCTTAAGTTAATTTAAGCCAGCCCGTAATGCTATGCATATATAAGTGGCTTTGGCATGCTGCTCTTATCTGTATTTTTTGTACCTCTGTAAAGTGTGCTCAAAATTATAAATAAATAAAAAATAAAAAAAAAAAAATAAAATATTAGGCTAATATCAACACTACAGCTTATTTTGCCTATCACAATTGATCTAATAGGCATAAGAAACAATATAAATAACATAAAACATGTTAAATACTCCAGAATGAATAATATTTGGCATAACACCGAGCAGTTCGACAGAGTTTTTGAAGAGGATATGATAAACAAATACCATTCTCCTATCCTTGTCTTGGTGGCTTATATTAGAGAAAACGGAGTAAGCACAGGGGTAACTATGATATACACTCACTCCACCATAAACAGGAAACAAAGTTTTTTCTCTCTATAGAATTATCACACATAGCAGCATATGTGTAGAGAACCTAGGATAACCCCCAAAAAGTCAACATGGCTTATTTTTAGTACCTGGCTTGGGTTAGCCATATATGATTTTTGGTAAATATTCGATTCCCAGCCAGGGTAAAATATTAGGCGTGTTTCTTAAAACCTGTTGTCTAATGTTTACCCATCAGTAAATGGTACCTGGGTGTTTTGTTGACTAGTGTGGGTGTTAACCTGGGACACTGACCTAATTTTCTTGAAATACTCAGCATAACAAGTGCCTTTCTATACAGTAGTATGTCACTGATGTCAACTAGGCCTGTATACCTTGTACATGTACGTGTAGTAAATAAAGATATTATTATTATTATTATTATTATTATTATTATTATTATTATTATTATATTATTGTTATTATTTTCTCAGTTGTTTGTTGGGTTATCTTATTCAAACTTGGGCAATGTATGATGGAAAGATACTTTTTCACGTACACCAAAAATGAAAGAAATCAGACCATAAATAGCGGAGTTCACTTCTCAGCCATTAGCGGCTGCTTAGCGGTATATTTTTGTATGGTTGTTATGGTTATATTCTCATTTTTTTCGGTCTCATTTGATAGAATGAAAGATATATTACAGAAATAGATATTATTTTGATTGCTTTCATGATGAAAAGTACCTTGAAATTGTGCTCACAGTAGTGAAAATGTTCTATTCTTTAGCGAAGCTCAAGAGTAAACAAATGACGTCACCGTCCAATACCTGTCCGCCTGCCACTCTAAATTCCAGTACGGAGTCAAGAATGGATTGACATTATTTATACAATTACAATAATGCAGTAGTCTGCATAACAGTAAATCTATTTTTTTTTGTGAATAAAAATTCCAAATGGTAAGCAAGAGTAATATAAGAGGGGCCTGTAGCCGTGACTAATGAACAGAGCAAATGTTATTTTAGTGCCAGGAATGTTTGCATTGTTTATTCTGGACACTATTTTGAAATTGGCATCTGTTGAAA